TCCCGTAGCTTTCGCAGTTGGCATGTTCCACCGTATCTACTGCCACATGTGATTAACTGTATATTGGTGCTATCGTCAGCAAGTACCTTATTTGATTTGATATTTGTCGGCATTTTTGATATATGGGATCGACACTTTTACAGGTTGAAACATTCTGCACCTGTGCCAGCATGCTGTTCGACCTGCATTATGTGATAGACTCCTCTAATATATATACACCTTCTCCGTGAAGTGCAAAATGGTTGGACTATGCTTTTTGAGTGATTTTTGAAGCTTGCCAACAGGTAGACTGACAGATCTTCAGGTCTCTCTGCTGATATCAACGATAAAGCGACCACCAAAAAGAGAGCGCTGATGTGTCTCCAAGGAGACTCCATGACATCGAGGTCTTTGCTCATGTGTGTGGGTTCTTGAATGGTTTATACAGTACTTTCTCATTCATTGCAGAGGTCCGTACGGCACACACAGTCTCTACAACAATGAACCAACAAACTTCATGATGACAACCATTCCCAGCTGGGATTCGAAATTTAAGATTGACAACCAAACCAACTCTGACTATTACACAGGGCCTATTGTGCAGGGGAGGGGGTTGCTCGGGCGGCTTGCGGGCCTGAGAGGTTCATTTTTTGGTACTTTTTTTTTTTTAACTTTCTAAAACCAAATATGAATGCATGTACATCTTAAATTACTATTTCCAATGTAGCCGTACAGCCCACTCCCATGCGGCGCAATGGGAGAGGGGAGGAGGGGGCTTAAGCATCTTGAGCTGGGGGTATACTCTGGTCAATGCCCCCTGTCAGATGATTTGTGTTTTATTAAATTTTTTAAGTCTTTTTACATCCCCCTTGTAGACAAATAGCCTGTCTTTACTATTCCTCCCCCCAAGTTACGTTGACTAGGCCATGAGTTTTCTTCTTTAACTTTCCCCACTGAATTCATCCCTCCAGTTGGAGTCCCATCGTGTAGACTCTTTTGTGTAGTTATCTTGGCTCCTTTCATAATTAGGCAGGTATTGTGTATAGTCAGG